AGATATTTTCCAAAGAAGACATCAAGATGGCCAACAGACACATGAAAAGATGCTCAACATCACTCACCATCAGGGAAAGACAAATCAAAACCATGATGAGATACCACCTCACACCTGTCAGAATGGCTAGAAAAACACCACAAGAAACAACAGGTGTTGTTGATGAGGATGGGGAGAAAGGGGATCTCTCTTGCACAGTTGGTGGGAATGCAAACTGGCGCAGCCACTCTGGAGAACAGTATGGAGGTTCCTCAAAAAGTTAAAAATTAGACCTACCCTATGATCCAGCAATTGTACTACTGAGTATTTACCTAAAGATACAAAAAATACTGATTCGAAGGGATACATGCACCCCGTTTATAGCAGCAATGTCCACAATAGCCAAACTATGGAAAGAGCCTAGATGTCCATCAACAGATGAATGGATAAAGAAGATATGGTGTATATATACAATGGAATACTATGCAGCCATCAAAAAAATGAAATCTTGCCATTTGCAATGATGTGGATGGAGCTAGAGTGTATTATGTTAAGTGAAATACATCAGAGAAAGACAAATACCATATGATCTCATTCATGTGGAATTTAAGAAAGAAAACAGAAGAACATATGGGAAGGGGGAGAAGAAAAAGAAGGAAACAAGTCATGAGAGACTCTTAATGATAGAGAATAAACTGAGGGCTGATGGAGGGAGGTGGGTGGGGGATGGGCTAGATGGGGGATGGGTATTAAGGAGGGCACTTGTTATGATGACCTCTGGGTGTTGTACCTAAGTGAGAATCACTGAATTCTACGTTAGAAAACAATATTGCACTGTATGTTAACTACCTAAAATTTAAATAAACAAATGCTTAAAACTACAAAACTGATGAAACAAATAAAAAACCTATTAAATAGAGATATATTGCACTTGTGGTTTTTTTTATTTTATTTATTTATTTTAGAGAAAGAGAGTGAGCACGAGCAGGGAGAGGGGAAGAGGGAGAGGAAGAGAGAGAATCTAAGCAGACTCCATGCTGATCACAGAGCCCAACACAGGGCTCAATCCCATGACCCTGAGATCATGACCCGAGCCGAAATCAAGAGTCAGCTACTTAACCAACTGAGCCACGCAGGCACCCCTACCATGCTTGGGTTTTAAAGACTCCATATCTTTAAGATATCTGTTCTCCTCAACTGATCTATGTCAACACGACTTCATTCAAAATCCCAGCAGGATTTTTTGTATGACTTGAAATCCATAAGCTGATTCTACAATGTGCATGGAAAGACAAAGAAACTAAAAAAAAAAAAAAATTGAAGGCCTAACAACATCTGATTGCAAGACTTACTATAAAGGTAGAGCAATCATTACAGAGTAGTACTGAAGAAAGGGTAATCATCGAATCAATGGAGTAGAATAAAATCCAAAAATACACCCATACACCTAACGTCAGATGACAAAGGGGCAAGGGCGATTTAAGAAAGAAAGAACAGTCTATTCAAAATATGGTGCTGAAACAAATAGGTAATCAGATGCAAAAAAAAGAGAGAGAGAAAGAAACTCTATTATATCTATATCTAAACTCTATCTACCTAGTATTCTGTACAAAAGTTAACTCAAAATTAAATATAAAACTAAATGTAAAACCTAAAACTATAAACTTCTGAGAGAAAGTTCATGTACTATATCTTCCACTCTCCTATGACACTGCAGAAAATTTCTTAGCTATGCTAAACACACAATCCATACAAGAAAAAGTTGAAAAATGAACTTCATCAAAATTTCAAACTTCTACTCTCTGAAAGACATTCCTAAGAGGATGAAAAGGCAAGCAACAGAGTGAAAGAAAGGATAACGGAAGCAAGACTGGCCATGAGACAATCAGGTTAAACCCAGCTGACGCACATTATATGCTTCTACTTTTGTATAGCTTCAAATTTTCCAAAATAAGAACAACAGAATAACTCTTCTAAACATCCATTCTCAGACACAGGAATACTGAAGAGGTTGAACATTAATCCCAAGTTAAAAAAAAAAAGCTAACAAATGTCCTATGAATATATTCTTTTGGAAGCTGGTAAAATGTCATTCTCAACATAATCATCTGTTTGGAGTTTACCTTCCTTTCTGGAGCAATTTTCTCAGTAAATCAAACTTCCAGATTTTGGCATTTTCTGCAAAACCCGTGTCACCATCCCCACAAGCCCACCCATATATTTACACATAACTGTGTGAGGAAACAACGGAACTCCCTGTTCCATTCTCCATACCCAGCTCCCTATTTACCCAAAGTTAAAACAAAACAGACCTTCCCTATGAGGTATTAAAAAAGAGAGAATGGATGGCAACAAGACAGTGCCATAAGGACTCTGAGGCTTTGGAGAAAAAGAGGCATCTGGAGCATCTTCAAAAGGTTGGGTTGGGGGGCGGGGGCAGGAGGGTCCTCTTTTCCACATACATTTTTTTTTTAAAGATTTTATTTATGTATTTGAGAAAGAGAATGAGACAGAGAGAGAGAGAACATGAGAGGGGGGAGGGTCGGGAGGGTCAGAGGGAGAAGCAGACTCCCCGCCGAGCAGGGAGCCCGATGCGGGACTCGATCCAGGGACTCCAGGATCATGACCTGAGCCGAAGGCAGTCGCTTAACCAACTGAGCCACCCAGGCGCCCCTCCACATACATTTTTATTATGAGGTTGAAATAATATCTAAGATTTCTCTATTTCTAGGATCTCATGGCCAAACATCCATGAATGGCAAGAGTCTCCTTTGCTCCATTACTGCGAGGTAGTTGTAGTGGGAAAAACCCAGTGAGGGCGGCAGGGGGGCCACAAGGAAACCCCTCCAGGCTCAGCGATGTCTCAGCTCGGGCCTCCTAATGCACTCAGCAGCCCTATTGTACCCCACTCTCCCCACCCCAACGGAGAGGCCTTCATTATTCCGTCCAAGGGTAAGCGTGCCTCTCAGTTTCACCACTTCCATTAAGTCTGTTTCTATGTACACACCGCACTTTTTAAAAAAACCCAAAACCCCGTCCACAGTGTATGGCTGCAGCCGGCACACGGGCCACGCACACTGCAGACCTTGGACCCAGCTTCAGAGACGGCCGTTACTTCCTTACCTTCTGTCCTGCAATAACGACGCGATCCCCCAACTTCAGACCGAGGGACGTGAGCATCGCCTTGCTAGTGACGCGGTCACAGTTTGGAAGCAGGGGCTTTGACATGTCACGCGACAGGGGCGCCGCATCCAACAACATCTGCTTGATTTCTTTAGCAGTTGCAGCAGCATCAGCCATCTCCAGAGGCATTTCCACTGGGTCCGGAACGACATCAGCAGGGATCTGCCCTTTGTCATTCTGCAAATACAGAGAAGAGAACATTTTCAATCCATATCACTCACAGCTCTACAAGGTCATACACAATTATTTTTAAAAATAAAGGTGAAAAAAAATTAAGTTCAATTCATTCATCGTGTATTTGTCAAACTGTTTACCTGAACACCTACTACATGCCATTCTAAATGCTACTGACACCACAGTGAAGAGAAAAACCCTGCCCTCTGCAAGCACACCTTCTGGTGCAAGAGACAGACCACACACAAACAAGTAAAAGAGATGGTATGTTAAATGGTAAAAAGGGGCAGAAAGAAAAACAGTTCCAGACAGGGAAGGGGAGAGGACCTGAAGGGTGGCGTCTATGCAGGCAGGGAGGCTGGGGAAGGACTCACAGGCCAGAGGAGATGTGGGAGCACCACGCAGGCGAGCTGGTCGGGGAAGCGCGAGCGCTGAGCTCATGAGTGGACAGAAAGCCTGGCCACACAGGTTTAGAGACAGAAGTCACAGCACTGACTGGCCTCCCAACCCCAGATCCGAGATTCTGCCACCTCGGCCGTGTGACCTGATCCATCCTGCCCACTCATGGAGTGATTTAGTTAGTTATTTGAAGGGGGAGGGGCAAAGGGAGAGGGAAAGGGAGAGAATCTCAAGCAGACTCCATGCCCAGCACAGAGCCCAACATGAGACTCCATCCCAAGACCCCAAGATCATGACCTGAGCCGAAACCAAGAGTTGGACACTTAACTGACTGAGCCACCCAGGCGCCCCATTATTGAGTGACTTTTGTCTCGTATCTACATTCATGCTGCCACTGGGTAGAGCAGACTCTTGTCATTTCTTAATGACTTAAGTAAGCCCAGCTGCCTGCCTCAGATCCCTGTCCTCAAATGCATCCTCCTCCACTGCATGGCCGTAGTGACCTTTCTACGCCCTTTAGGCCAGTGCCCTGTTCCCACCATTGGTGGCTTCATGCTGACTGTAGGTTACCATCTAAACAACTTATCAGGTCAGGCAAAACCTTAATTTGTTTCCAGTGTAGGTCGATTTTTTCATATTATCTGCCAGGCCCTGGGCCAGGTCCTGTGATAGCAGTGTTCTGCTCTGATGGGGCTTACATTCCAGTGTGGATGACCCAAATGGAGCACAGACTTGAGAATCTGGTGAGTGTTTGAAAGAGTGCGGATTTCAGGAATAGAAACTACAGTTTCAATACTTCAACACTTCTCAAATGTGCGCTATAATCAAGAAAACAGCTCTGGCCTCACTATAAAGGAGAGACTGCATCCTTGGATTTAATCCTGCAACAAGATAAAATGGTCAGTTGTAAACCCACTAACATTTGCATGGTGTTTATATAACCAAATCTGATCACGTAAATTATCTCATTTGATTCGCACATCAAGAAAAAGCTTATGAATAAAACAGATAAAAATCCATGCCGAGAGTATATACTGTAGTATAAGAGACAATAACCAACTAAACAAGTAAAATATTACTATTGTTTCTGGTTTACCAATTAGGGAAATTCAGTAAGGAGAGGTTAATGACTCCTTCAAAGTCATTTACAGGGTTCCTGGCAGAAGGGACATCTGAAGCCATGTCTAGGACCCGCTACATTCAGCCTTTCTCCTACTTAGGGCTATCCTTCCTTCAAACACGGTATCTCTCTTCTATGTTCCCTAACCAAAAAAACTTAGATGTTATGAGAGAGTTTCCAGACTGTAATCTTCTTTGAATATAATGAATCGGGATTCTTTTGCTGAGAAAATTCTTTTCCTTGTCTTCTCTGCTGATAATGATCTTCAAACGCTCCATTTGGATGAAAGAATGAGGTTTTTAAAACACACTTAGTTTGTGAGTGCGTCACAGTTTTTATTTTAAAATTCACAATTTTACTTTAAAATGGTCCTAAGTAAAAACATGGCAGGGAGACATGTTATCAAATTTCTGGGATAGTGATGGGACTGTTTTAAAGAATTTCAGATTTCAAAGAAAATATACAAAATATAATAAAGGTACGTATAGCACTAATATGTACTCTTGATAAAAAGAGGGGGGATTTTTTTTTTAAACCTTATACTGGTAAGTTGTAAGCTATATTGACAAGGACTCTTTTTTTTTAATTTTATTATGTTATGTTAATTACCATCATTAGTTTTTGATGCAGTGTTCCATGATTCATTGTTTGCATATAACACTCAGTGCTCCATTCAATACATGCCCTCCTTAATACCCATCACCCGGCTAACCCGACCCCCCACTCCCTCCCCTCTAGAACCCTCAGTTTGTTTCTCAGAGTCCATAGTCAAGGACTCTTTTACTTTAAATTTTTAAGTCCTCACCTTTCTAGAGTAAGTCACACACTTATGTTAATTCCTATAGAATGTGGCAACTAAAACTTCTGTTAAAATAATAATAACAGGGGCCCCTGGGTGGCTCAGTCCTTAAGAGTCTGCCTTCCACTCAGGTCACGATCTCAGGGTCCTGGGATCGAGCCCCGCATTGAGCTCTCTGCTCAGCAGGGAGTCTGCTCCTCCCACTGCCCGGTGCTCTCCCTGCTTGTACTCACACTCTCGCTCTCCCTCTCTCTCCCTCTCTGACAAATAAGTAAATAAAAATCTTAAAAAAAAATAGTCTCTCCACTGAGGAGGTTTTGTCAACAGTCGTACTAGGAAAAGCAAAAACATATCACCTTCACATTCCAGCCAAATTGGGGGATCATCTCCAAGCCCTGGTGAATGCTACTCTCCTCTCTGCCTAAAAGGCTTTTCGCACCTCCTTTGTCTAACTGGTTAGTTCTTAACTATGTTTAAGTGCTCAGTGTCACCTTTGCCCTTGTCTGTGACCCATGGCACTCTGTGCCCACCCCCACATTGTAACCCACTGAATGCCAACACACTACAGCAAAATTACTTGTCCATCCTCCCCTCTAGACTATATTCTCTTTGGCGACAATGACTTTTATTTATTGTTTTCTCCCCGTGCCCAAGAAACAATAGGAAAGGAGGGAGGGGGAGACTGGGGAAGGGAAGAGGGGAGAAGGGTTAATTAACTAATGATGGGGTAAAATAGAAAGAAGAGTGGCAGAAAGAAGCAGGGAGGAGAGGGGAAACTAGAAAGCGGGGAGGGGGAGAGGAAAAGAGGAAGGGAAGAGGCTTTTTCAAACACTGCCCTCCCCTGTCCCTTCAAAGGAAGGCCCAGACCCAATTAAGAATCCCTGCAAGAGCAAGTCACTGTTATTCATATTAAGGAAAAGAACAGTGAGAGCCACTCAGTAAAAACAGTAAAATACCAGGAGACTTGAAGATTATGAAATTCAATCCTATGTGTTAACTTTGTAAATTTACTAATTTACATAATTACCATGAAAAAATTCATTTTTCCTTTAATTTTTAAAGGTTTACTGCACTCCTAAACGTACATTTTAAAAAATGGACAGGGAAAGAAACAACAAATGTTGGAGAGGTTGTGGAGAAAG